AAAAAAATATATATATAAAAAAAAAAAAAATATTTTATATATATATATATATATATATATATATATATATATATATATATATATATAAAATATTATTATTATTATTATATATATACATTTTTTTTTTTTTTGCCAAGATTTAAACTATTTGCCTGATGTACCTAACCTTGTCCTCCAATCCACAGGGGGCGCTCTAGCAAGCCCATTTTTGTGCAGATCGCCAAACAGGTGGTGAACCTGAACCCTACTGAGCTGCGTCTGCCCTCCAGAGCATGGAAGGTGAAGCTGGTTGGAGAAGGGGCGGATGATGCTGGTGGCGTTTTTGACGACACCATTACCGAAATGTGCCAGGTAAGTCCATTTTCTTAAAAGGGAGGGTTGCTTTCATGTTCAGGCATCCAAAACCGAATTCTCTTTTCCCAGGAGTTGCAGTCAGGTGTGGTCGAGCTTCTCATTCACACTCCTAACAGCTCTGCAGATGTTGGTAGCAACACGGACAGGTACGTTGTAGATGATGAAATGCATAAGCAGAATGTATAGCGATTATGTATTTTTGTAGGCTAAACCAGAAGGTAGCTTCACCCTGGTTTCCTCAACAAAAACCCAGTAGTTCCTGGTTTTGGTCTACAAAAATACGTCATCCCTGCAGCACTCTATTTGCTCTAAATAGAAAGACTGTTTACTACTAACCTCCATTGTCTGGACAGGTTCTTGCTGAACCCAGCAGCAGTCTCAGATGATCACATGGTGCAGTTTCGCTTCTTGGGGATCCTAATGGCGGTGGCCATTCGAACCAAAAAGCCCTTGGATCTGCACCTGGCGCCGTGGGTGTGGAAACAGATGTGCTGTATTCCTCTGGGAGCCGCCGACCTGGAGGAAGTGGACCTGCTCACACACCGCTCACTTCAGGGCATCTTACACCTGGACAACAGCGTGATCAATGAAGAGAACTTCACAGTGGTGAGGCACACAGACCCGAGACCAGCAGAGATCATCCATTCAGACATGACTTTCTCACTGTCTTTTATTCTGGATTTGTAGATGATCCCTCTGGACTCGTTTGTGGCTCACAGTGCTGATGGCACATTGGTTCCCGTGATTCCTGGTGGGCATAACGTCCCTCTGACATTCTCCAACAGGAACGATTATGTGGAGAGAGCCTTGCACTACAGACTTCAGGAGATGGACAGACAGGTATCTGCCTCACCTCCAGACACTTTAGAATTAAAATGATCTTGGCTATGCATCTCACTTAAAGGAATAGTTCATATAGACTGATCTTGCATGCTGACAGTACTTAATGGTAACGCAGTTTTTGTGTGTATGTAGGTGGCAGCAGTGAGGGAGGGCATGTCCTCAATCATCCCAGTCCCGTTGCTTTCCCTGCTCACGGCTCGACAGCTGGAACAGCTGGTGTGTGGCTTGCCCGAGGTCTCTGTGGAAATGTTGAAGAAGGTGGTACGATACCGTGACATTACTGACAGCCATCAGCTTATTGGCTGGCTGTGGCAGAGCCTCGAGGAATTCACCAATGAGGAGAGAGTCCTGTTCCTGCGCTTCGTGTCCGGACGTTCCAGACTGCCGTCCAATCCGGCAGACATCACACAAAAATTTCAGATCGTCAAAGTTGATCGGGTAAGGTTACTGTCAGGTGTAGAATATCCTCTTTATTATATACTAATTAAAATAGATTAAAAAAAAATATATATATATATATATTAATTTAATATATAATAATTTAATGACAACAAATGAGATGTAGACAAAATTGCTCTGGAATATTTTCTTTACAATATACTTAATTAAAAATAGATAAAAAAATTAATTGTTACATTGAATGAATTTAATTAAATAAAGCTGCATAATTTAATATATACTTTAGTTAATTACAAAATTGTTTTAATTTAACAGAATTTAATGACCATGAATTAGATGTAGACAAAATTGATTTTCTAAAATGAAATTTACATTTGAATGTAATATTGAAAATTATTTGACTAAAATTCACCCAAAAATGGAAATTTTAAAATGTTGTATTATTAATGTTTATTTATATAAAAAGGTTGTCAGTAGATTTAATAACTGATAGAGACAGGAAAAATTGTTTAAAGAAATTACCTTTAAATATAGAATTTGTAGTTATTTTACTGAAATTCACCCAAAAATGGAAAATTGTAAAGATGTATTTTTATTTGTATGATTATTAATGTTTATTTATATGAAATGGTTGTCAGATTTCAAAACTGAAAAGGGACACAGAAAAAAATACTTTATGGAATTAACTTTTGAATATAAAATGATAATTTAGTAAACAACTATTTTACTAAAATTCACCCCAAAATGGAAACTTTTAAATTGTTGTCAGTTATTTTGTCAATTGTTGTTAAAAAGTTACAGAAATGGTCACAGTTATCGGCCAGTATTGGCAAATATCGTCCGATCAATCAGCCTAGTTAATTATGTATATGTACTTTCCATGCCTAACGGCAATATGTGAACTGGGATCAGGCCCGGGTCTTTAGTCTCACTTTATTCTCTCAACAGCCTGTGAACGGACTTCCTACGGCCCAGACGTGCTTCTTCCAGCTGCGTCTTCCTCCCTACATGAGCCAGGCCATACTAGCCGAGCGCCTACGCTATTCCATTCACAACTGCCCCTCCATAGACATGGACAACTACATGCTGTCACGCAATACCGACCCGGCAGACGTCTCCGACACCGAGTACTAACGCGGCCCTCGCAAAAACTGACTCTATAATGCTACAAAGCACATAATAACCCTCATAAATGCCTCCGGTTCTTCCTCATACATGCAATACAGTTCTCAGTCACAAAGCCTCACGTACGTACTCTCTGCGGTACCCAGAATGCACTGCAGACGCCAGTTCTTCCACAAGGTCAAAGGGAGAATATTTAAGCAATTCAGTTCTTTATTTATTCCTTTTTGTATCATCTTCGTGTCTCTGAATGTTGCAGGAAAGTTTCTAAAACTAAAAAAATATTACAATACATTACAAGTGCCGTGCCTGGAATGGTCGCAAGGTTTCTTCTCTTGGCGTTAGCGACAGAAACTGGGGTTGGTTCGTAGGTGAGCACTTGGCAGCTAGCTTCCTTTCCCAGTTTATGCCAAAGGCTATTAAACTACTGTACTGTACACGATACCTTCTGACTCAGTGGGAAAAGAAAAAAAAAACTTACTGTGAGTCTGAGAAACAAGTCCCAGAGCAATCATTTGGGCGTTTGTATCAAGCTAGCTTGTATCTTTAATGAATGTATACTTGCAAATGCCATGCACGTGTGCACTCCAATCTTTTATTTGCCAAATACTGTACTGATGCTGTACATTACATAGGGTTTAATGAATTTTAGCCTGTTTTTTTGCAACTGTGAAACAGCGCGTGGAGACGTTTGGTGATTTGTTGTGTTCGTCTGTGTATTCTCACAGAGCGAGAGTGCAGGTTTGTTACACTATGCTGATTGGTCATCAGTGTTATTATGTGCTTCGGGCTTGTATGCCTCAGTGCTGGATGTAAAACATGTTTTGACTGTTTTTACTGGAGTGTTTGATAGAGGAGAGTCGCTCTTTACTCTCCAACCTTCTGTATGCGGTGGTTTACAGTATTGGTAAATTATTATTATTTGTTTTTCCTAAAATACTTATCTGAATGAGCTTTATGTGTTGGAAAGACGACTAATGAGGACTCATTGCGCTGTTGTGCACTTTAGACCTGTATGCATTGCGCTTTAGGAAAATCGTATTCACTATAATATTTACAGATTTCAGATTAATTTATCTAGAGATTCTCCTAACCCGAGTCACTACTGATATAAACCTCCAGAACTAACTTTAACATGAAAGATTACTTTGTTAGGCTATGATGTGGTATTTGGTGATGCTCAAATTTCAGATTAAGCCATAAAACAAGAACGATTCAAAAAGTCTCCTTAAACTGTATATCTGATATCTCATGGCGATGGCCTCTCAGATGGAAGATGCACTGTATTCTAAATTAAAATGTGTACAGACTTTCGTGTCAGCTTGGTAAGTCATTTAATTTGATTCTAAATGTTTTTATGATTATGAAAAGTTTTTTATTTCTGCCATGTTTTTGTGTTTCTATTCCAGCTATTCTAGTGCAATCAGAGTCTCACGTTTCCAAAGACCAGACAAGGGAAAACCAATCAATTATCCGAAGGATTGGAAGTTAATATGAAGTACGTAATGTATACAGAACACTCTCTACACAAGTTCTGAAACACGAATGGCTGGATTCACACAACTGACTCTTTTGATTCAGTTCTTTTTTAGTGAATCGCAAACATTCAGCCAAGCGGCAACCTTCCGGTCTCTCTCATGAAACCAACACGGAAGTGACTAAAACTGCAATTCATCGACTGGCCGCTAGAGGCTGGCTCCAAAAGGGAGTCAGTCCCATAGACTCCCCACGTTAAAATGCTCAATTTTACAGCAGAAAAAAATAGATTTACAGCCTGGTACAAAAAGTGGTTTTGGTCTATATAGCTAATTTTGCCCTTCATGACAACTGTGAGGGGGTGAATTTTTTTTATAACTCATCCGTTTAAATTATATTAAGCCTTAAAGTTATGCATAATTAAGGGCGTGGCCACTTGAGTATCAGGTGGGTTGCCGCTGCTGTCACCACCGTCGAGCTAGGTGGGCGTGGTTTCAGCAACCAACTCCACCTCTTTGCCCATTTTCGATTATCCGGGAGTGACACAACTTGGCACTGCACAGCTTCTTGTTGTCTTCAGAGCTAACTTTATAGTTTGATTTCTGCATAGACCTGCATTTGCCTCTCTCGTAAACACTATGCACGATTCGGTGGGCGGAGCTAAACAGGCAGCGATGTAAGAGTAGGTGTTGGTCTTCTGCGGAAGGTGGTATTTAGCCACCCTATTACATCATAGAGTAGAACATTCCACAAGCTGTCGTTTTGGCAGACCGCCTTCAATATAATCTGTTTTTAGACTAATGAGAAAGTTTTGAGTTCTGAAAGTTACAGGATGTTTTTATAGTACAATGACCTCTTATATGTCAAAAGGTCAAGGGAATTTTGGTTTGTCAGTACATGACCCCTTTAAAGGATAGTCTGCCTGATGGAAGTTCTGGCATCATTTACTCACCCTCATATTGTTTGAAACCTGTATGAGTTTCTTTCTTCAATGTGTGGAACATAAAATAAGGTATTTTGAAGAATGCTGGTAACCAGTTACTGGTCCCCATTGACTTCCATAGTATGGAACAAAAAACAGCAACTGTTTAGTTACCAATATTCTTCAGAATATCTTCTTTAGTGTTCAGCAGAAGAAAGAAATTTGTGTAGATTTTGAACAACCTGAGGATGAGTAAATGATGACAACTTTAATTTTGGGTGAACTGTACCTTTAAGAGCCAGTTCTTTTTGGGGGGAACTATATAAGTTATGCATATGAGATTTTTCCAGATTCTATCCTCCCATGTTTATTTGAACAAATAGGGTTGTAAAAATGCCCCCCCTCCCACCTCTAATCCACTAACTGTACTCTATATTCAATTAGCAGCAGGGTCTATCAGATGACCTCACGTAATCACGCTGAGCACTGTCTTATCACGCTGCGATAATTCAGCTGAGCGCAAGCGTATTTTTAGTTTCTTTACTCAATTACAATCCTGTTTTCAGACAAACAAATCATTTATCTCCATCTTTCTTCATAAGAATCCCATAACAAAAGCTAATCAGATTATGCTAAGTATGGAAGTGGTACAATCAAGCTAAATGTGGTGGAAAACGCGGGCAGAAGGGGCCAAACCGGTTTAAAATCACAGGCCACCGTTAGAACAAAGAGGGGCGTTTCGTTCCCCTCCTGAGATGCTATCGTTTTGATAAATTGTGCATGCCACCCGTCCTCTGAGATGAGAGGAAAGCGATTGTGATAATGAGCATCTTTGACTTGCTCCATTGAATTATGGGAGGAAGTGAAACTCACCACTGATGACTGAGAGGATCAAAGAAAGGAGGGGAAACACTGATCTCAGCTGCTTTGATGCTTTCGAGAGCTTGTGTTCATGCAGGTCTGCATGGAGAATCATCATCTCAGGCTGCTGCTGATGGCATGGACTTGAGTTTAACTCGCTGTAATGCGTTGGGAAGCTCTTCAGTGTTCAGATCAACACATTTAGAGGTACAGCATACAATCTGAACCAATTAGCATCTTGATAGTTCACACTGTCACAACCGTCATCAGCAACCATTGAAAGTTAGTGTTTGTTGGGGACACAATGTGAACTAGCCTTTATTAATACTGAGAAGCACCAACATAGACATCTGAGAACATTTATTTGATGTACAACCAAATGATTTGTGTGTGATGTTTGACGTTTTTATGAATACTTTGAATCAGATTTATTTTTATATATTTTTTCTACTCGATGTAAGAGTAGGTGTTGGTCTTCTGCGGAAGGTGGTATTTAGCCACCCTATTACATCATAGAGTAGAACATTCCACAAGCTGTCGTTTTGGCAGACCGCCTTCAATATAATCTGTTTTTAGACTAATGAGAAAGTTTTGAGTTCTGAAAGTTACAGGATGTTTTTATAGTACAATGACCTCTTATATGTCAAAAGGTCAAGGGAATTTTGGTTTGTCAGTACATGACCCCTTTAAAGGATAGTCTGCCTGATGGAAGTTCTGGCATCATTTACTCACCCTCATATTGTTTGAAACCTGTATGAGTTTCTTTCTTCAATGTGTGGAACATAAAATAAGGTATTTTGAAGAATGCTGGTAACCAGTTACTGGTCCCCATTGACTTCCATAGTATGGAACAAAAAACAGCAACTGTTTAGTTACCAATATTCTTCAGAATATCTTCTTTAGTGTTCAGCAGAAGAAAGAAATTTGTGTAGATTTTGAACAACCTGAGGATGAGTAAATGATGACAACTTTAATTTTGGGTGAACTGTACCTTTAAGAGCCAGTTCTTTTTGGGGGGAACTATATAAGTTATGCATATGAGATTTTTCCAGATTCTATCCTCCCATGTTTATTTGAACAAATAGGGTTGTAAAAATGCCCCCCCTCCCACCTCTAATCCACTAACTGTACTCTATATTCAATTAGCAGCAGGGTCTATCAGATGACCTCACGTAATCACGCTGAGCACTGTCTTATCACGCTGCGATAATTCAGCTGAGCGCAAGCGTATTTTTAGTTTCTTTACTCAATTACAATCCTGTTTTCAGACAAACAAATCATTTATCTCCATCTTTCTTCATAAGAATCCCATAACAAAAGCTAATCAGATTATGCTAAGTATGGAAGTGGTACAATCAAGCTAAATGTGGTGGAAAACGCGGGCAGAAGGGGCCAAACCGGTTTAAAATCACAGGCCACCGTTAGAACAAAGAGGGGCGTTTCGTTCCCCTCCTGAGATGCTATCGTTTTGATAAATTGTGCATGCCACCCGTCCTCTGAGATGAGAGGAAAGCGATTGTGATAATGAGCATCTTTGACTTGCTCCATTGAATTATGGGAGGAAGTGAAACTCACCACTGATGACTGAGAGGATCAAAGAAAGGAGGGGAAACACTGATCTCAGCTGCTTTGATGCTTTCGAGAGCTTGTGTTCATGCAGGTCTGCATGGAGAATCATCATCTCAGGCTGCTGCTGATGGCATGGACTTGAGTTTAACTCGCTGTAATGCGTTGGGAAGCTCTTCAGTGTTCAGATCAACACATTTAGAGGTACAGCATACAATCTGAACCAATTAGCATCTTGATAGTTCACACTGTCACAACCGTCATCAGCAACCATTGAAAGTTAGTGTTTGTTGGGGACACAATGTGAACTAGCCTTTATTAATACTGAGAAGCACCAACATAGACATCTGAGAACATTTATTTGATGTACAACCAAATGATTTGTGTGTGATGTTTGACGTTTTTATGAATACTTTGAATCAGATTTATTTTTATATATTTTTTCTACTTTCATTTGAATGTTTTAGTCATTTAAAATACTTGTTTTATTTTTATATTTGTTCATATATATTTGATTAAATTGTATATCCGTTTGTGATATTTTGGTACATCAAGTTATACTAAAAGAAAAATGTTTGGAAAAATGTAAAAAGTAAAAAAGTTCAAATTTATTTATAAT